TTGTTATTTTTTCTGACTTGAAAGAGAAAAAGCTGATTTTCATTTAATTTCAAAGACAGTAAAGATAGAGATTGTGAAAACAAAAAAAAAATGTCTTCATTTACAGTTAATGGAAATGTCTGGTTACAGCTTTATGATTTACAAAAGATAGGCCAGATATGAACTTTAAAACTGGCAATAAACAAAATCAAGATCAGTAATGTGCTTAACCAGACCGAATTTAAAATGAACTCAATATGCTTTTTTTCAATAAAAGATGAATATAAGAAATGTGGTGAACGAGATTTTATTCTTAATACCAATTTAAGTGATTTTAAGAAAAGATGTTTACCTTTTATTTAATACATCACTGAAATAAATGTATTTGCTAATAAAAAAAAAAGTATACCTCTGCTCCAGTCAGGCTGGTGTGCTTAGCGCACAGTCACAGAGTGGACCTGTTAGTGAGGGCCACAGGGAGATAGTGGGCTGCAGAGATTTGAAAAACTTTTCCCATAAAGCCTGCCCAATGAAAAGAAATCATGAGTATATATATATATATTTATAAGACTATATTTTTCATTAAAATGTCAACCCAGCCATTGAAAATGGGCCAATCTGTCAAGAACCTTCATGTAACTTTTTCTTTGCTGTGTAGCCCAAAGCACATTTTCACCTATTCAGCTATTACTGTGCTAGTGCTTTGTTTTCAGATGCGTTATTGTTCAAGAATATTAATTACCCTAATTTATTGGGGGAAAACAAATAAAACTTAGATTTACAACTGCTTTAGTTCAATGTAAATTCAGTACTTGTATGTTTTTACTTTTGTACTCCATAACAATATTTTATTGCTCCAAATTATTGCTATATATACACTGGTATGTCATTTTGACAGACAATGCATTTTACATCTATAATGTATAATATGATCTATAATTATGCATAATTCTACTACTTACAAAACTAAAAAGTAAAAAAAATAATACTAAATTGAACTGTGACTCAATCAAAATCAATTTGAAATGTAAAGTTCCCAACACCAAACCCTACTTCTAAATATGTTGAATTTTGAAGCTCTCTAAATTTCATTCAATCAGATAAATATTATCGACTTGCAGACATAGTCAATACATTGCCCTTGATTCCAAAGGAAACTTAATCTCCACATGTAATATTATAAAGCATTCCTTCAAAGGTTGATTTTGCAGTTCTATCGCCTCATTTACACACACTTTTACCCAGACAAACATCCTAAAGCCATGCTTGTATATGCATAGCTTTAAGTCTTTTCCAAGGAGTCGGAGTGAAGATAATGTTATGTTTAGCTCTGATTAACATTGATGAAGCCTTGAGAGTGTTGTGCTGAATTAATGGCCGCCTCTTGAGGTTGAGTCTGAAAGGGGTGGGCACAGTAAAGCATGGCTAAAAGTGACTAAATAAAGCACTTACTGAAGTCACTCCCTTTTCTTTGAAATCATTTCTGAGTTGGCATGCATTTATCCGTTCATGCCTGTTAAGTATTTCTCCACTTTGATTGAAGAAGTCTCCTGAGTAAGAGATGTGCTTTGATGTTCAGAGTGTATTTTTGTGACTATATTTACGCAATACTTAAGAATTATTATAAATAAGAATTATACAGAGTTATGAGCATGTCTTAGCTTTGCTAGAACACAGAATATGCTGAAAATTTAACAGAAGCCAAGTAAGTTACAGCGGGTAAATATGTGGTCACTAACAGTGTATAGAGAAAAAATGAATTAGTCATCATCCACAGCCAACAGATTCTTGGTCAGATGCTAAAATTCATATTCCACTGAGGCAGCTTTTGATGTTTCTTTAACATCTGTGTGAGTTAAAAAGGCTCCAGTTGAGCAAATAAAATGATGTGAAACCTGGGAGTTCATAATTTTGCTTTAAAGGTACGCTTTCAGAGGTGAAAAAAGGGAGTATAAAAAGTGTTGGAGGAGAAGGAGTTTGTTTTTTAAGTTGTGAGCTTAGCTTTGATAAACGAAACAAATAAATGTGGAATCTAGTTGTATCATGTTTGCTGAACTCCACCAATATATACAGTTTAAAAAAGGCTGCTTTCTGTCTATATACTTGTAGTATAGTCATGGGAAAATAGGTGACGGTATTATATTTGGTCTACACTAATGAATCACTTACATTATTTCAGGAAATCCGGTAAAAGTACAAATCAACAGGTACATTGAGCTATCTTCTATTTTTTTTTTTTTTTTTTCATATTCTAGTCTACCCATATTTTGTGGTGGGGCTGGCGCCTATCTCCAGCTGTCGAGGGCAAATTGAAAGACAGGGTGCACCCTGGACTGGTCACTTATGTTTTGCAGGGCAACACAGAGACATATAACCACACACCTTACACAGACAATATAGAGACACCAATTAGCCTAGTGCTTTTTAAACTGTGGGAGGGAGGTGGGGTAGCTGGCCGAGATGCAACGCATGATCAGGAAAATATGCAAACTTAATGCAGAACTTGGCAAGGAATTGATCCCAGCACCTTTCTCCTTCCTTCATTCATTATACTTAGACTTAGACAGATTTTATTTGTCATTTTGTTTACACAAGTGTAAAACAAATGGAAATTTGGTTTGAAAACAGCTCACTGGACAATTTCATATTTTAAAAGTGCAGCCATTAACAACAGCATCCTAATTCCTACTTTACCTATGAATCTATACTACTCCAGGGTTCATTAGGTGATCAAATACATGAATAGATGTACATATAAGAGTACATATACATATATTTAACATAAAACTATTTAAGATTATTTCCTG